TGGTATTTATAAATCTAAATCCACTGAGAGTTTCCATGCCAGGGACATTTATACCCTCAGCCTTTTCTATCAGTGGAGAGCACAGGCTAAAAAGGGCGATGGATCTAAGATTATATCCTGTGTGACTGCTTCATGTAGATTAACCTTTATGTTCTCATCTGGACACGGGAATAATGTCTTGCCCACAGGTCTAAAACAAGGACCAAATTAGATAATGCACACAAAGCTTTTGTACTTTCTCTTTACTGTTCTGCTCTACTTTTCATCCTTTGAGCAACTTCATGCATTAGGGAAAGGTGGAGGGACTCTTTGGGGACAAAGAGAAGTCAGTTAGCTCTGATGTTACATGGAAAGGCAGCCCCATTGTGCTTAGGGGGAGCTTGTGGAGTATTGGTCCTGTGCAACTCCAACAGGTGCATATGTGCTGCTAGAGATGGGCAGGAAGAAGACAAGAACAGTGAAAGAACTAGAGCAGGAAATGGAAAGGTTGCAGTTAGACTGGTCCCATGAACGTGCTTCGGTAAATCTTTACACTAATCAGCTTAAAATGTGTCTTGGGAAAGGAGATGTTGGCTATTATTAAGTGAAATTTGGTCTCACAATGAGATTGGGGAGATTACTTGAGCCAAGTATTAAACAGGAAGCTTGGTATAATGTGATCTCCCATAAATTTTGTTGTTCACCTCCCTCCCTTGGAATTTTTGCTGTGTCTGGGTGCTGTGTGTACGAAGATTCTCTTGATCTTTTCTTAACATCAACTCATTTCTAAACTTTATAGTCTAAGCTTTAAAAAAAATAAACTTTATAGTCAATCATGAGAATTAATATCTAGGAAAAATGTTTTTTTTTTTTTTTTTTGAGACAGGGTCTAGCTCTGTAGTTCAGGTTAGTAGCTCAGAACTCACTAGGTAGCCCAAGCTGGGCTAAACTCCCGGCAATTCTCTTGCCTCAGCCTCCCAAGTGCTGGGATTATGCATGGCACCAGGCCCATCCCAGAAAAACATTTTTTAGATGCCAGTTATATCTCTTTCTAGCATAAGCTGAGGTAAAACCTACCTATTCAGATTTTTACTGTGGGAAAGGAGACTTTGTTCCAGCTTTGCCACTAGTTGGCTGTGTGGCCTGGGGTAAGTGAGCACTTCTGTCTTTCTCTTCACCTTGTGAACTTGCAGAACTCAGGGCCTGTCAAAGTCACCCTATCTTGTAATAGCCTCTGCCACCTTGGACAGAGTGGTCTTCACTCCCTGCTGGGCACCACTGGTGACAGGAAGTAGCCCTGTGTGGCAGCCTAAGCCCAGTGCACTTTGGCACCTGGTCTAGACCGGGCCCTTCCACTGATTTCCCATGGGTCCTGGTTAGGCCTTTAGGACCCATCCCTCCTCCACATGTCTGTCCTGTGTTGGTGAGAGCTCCAATGTGCCCCCAGATGCTGAGCACTGTTGGGCAGGGTGGGTGTGTCCTCTGTTGTGGTTGTGACACTTCTGTGAGTGATGCCCAATATAACAGTATCATAGGTCTCAGTGACAGGCATGTCCTCTGTGTCCCTTCACAGCTGAGAGATTTCTGTTCAGCTTTGTTGCCCTCTTGGGTACAGAAACAATGCTTATCTCTCTTTAAAGGTGGTGATATTGGGTTGGAATGAGTTTGGGGATACAGGACCATGTGGACAACTCATATGAATCTCACCTCAAGCAAACCCCTCAAGCTTTGTTCACATTTACTACTGTTTTGTCAAGCCTCCCAACCTTATTTTCCCACAGTTGGTATTGAGGACCTGAGGGTGGGCTACAGGTGGAACTTCTACTTGGCTTTGTTGTATTTCATCAAAAGGATCTGGTCTGTTACTCAAGGCTGCTGAAATCCTTTTGGATCCCAAGCATGTCATCTCACATACTTCATTCTTTCTCAACTAGTGTCATCAAAAAACCCGATAAGCATATAGCCTTTATTTTTTATCCAAGTCATTGATGCAAATGATGAAGAAAAAATAGTTGGGGAACTGAGTATCTCTGATGCTATTAGGAAACACTCTTCACATTAGCGTCAGTTCATTAATTACCATTTTTGGGTAGTGGCAGCAGTGTAGCTGCGGGGTGTGGCAGTCTGCTCTGAGCAGCACATTTTTCTCTATGCATCATTTTAATGTTCTATTTAAATAGGTTGACATACAGTGTTCAGATATGTTAGATGGTGCAAATTGAAGGGCCACCCTGAGCTGCATGAACTGTAGCTAAGGCACTGGGTGGTACCATCCTACTAGCTATTAAATCCTCCTAAGTATAAAGGCTTGCACTTATCTCTCTACCTTATTCACAAGACATGAAAATCTTGGGCTGTAAAGTATTAAACTTGTCCAAAGAAAGATTATCCCTTCCTCTCATCTCCCTATAAGTACCTGTAGGCTCTTGGAATATCCTGCCTGCTAAGAGTGTGTTTACCTGAGGCCTTGGGGCATGCCAACAGGCTCTTCTGTCAGAGGGATATATGGTAGGTTTCTTGGGTGGTGTGGTGTCAACTTGACCTCTGAAGAGGCTGGAGACTAAGATCAGCCATGTTGGGGCTCACCACATCTGCATGACCACCCTTGATATAAACCCTGGATAGGAGCTTCAGGTGAGCTTCCCTGCGCATCGATGCTCTGTGTGTATCGCACACATCATTACTGAAAAAGTAAGTGTTGTCCCCAGCATTCCACCGGGAGAGGACAACTGGGAATCCATACTCGGTCCCTCTTGGGCCCTGTCCCATGCATCTCTTCCCTCCACTGACTGCTGTCTCATACCCTCTGCTGTTAATGGCCATAACTGTGAAGGTAAGGGCTTTGTGGAGTTCTGGTACTCACTCCAGCACATCAGTGAACCAGAAGGTGATTCTTGGAACTGCTGAGCTGCCACAGGAATCTCTGGGCTACATTAAATGTATCTTTCTTTGAAACCAGAGTGCAGTACTCTCGGAGTTTCTGCTCTTTGGTTTCCCTAAACATCTCCTGGGAAAGATATCCTATGAAACAACTAGACCTTTCTCAGTCTCATGAAGCAGCCTCCTCCCTGGCTTGCCCAAGGGGCTCCCCTTCCCCCTTGGCCACCCACGTGGTTTAGTGAGTACTCACCTCAACCCACTTTTGGGTAAGATGCCATATTATCCGGGAGAATTTCAAGCTTGGGTTTCATCTTCTGTTTTTTAGTGAAGTATCTGCCAAAACTGAAACGTTACCTGGGGAAGAACATTGCACCCTATTTATACTTCCACCTAAGTGAGTCAGCCCACTAATAGAAGCAGGCTGTCTGTAAGACAGTATGCAGGAGAGAGAAGTTTAGATGACTGAACTGTTGAGGCTTTCCTTATGCGCCAGGGAGGGTAAAGAAGGTTGCTCCAGGCTGGGGAGCAGGGTTCTATGGAGGTGTGAGGGGAACAGTGTTGAAGGTTTGATGGAGAGCTGACAAAAAGGCAGAACTGCACCCTGATTTTGTTAGGAAATCAGAAGGTGAAGACCAGCACTCTATTCCTTGTCTGGCCTTCGTGGGACAAGCAGGCCATGACTTTCCAGAGGATGGAGATTCTCCTGGGGTGAAGGGGAAGGACAACCAAGTTGGGCATGTGAGGTAGGTATATCCACAAAGCAAGAAGGAGTGTACTCCCTACCTCACTTCCCAAAGGGTTTACAGAAAACCAGGTTCTTGGCATTGCAAAGGGAGAGGTGTCATTAAGTAGCACAGAGTGATCCTGTCATGGATAAGGTTTCATTTCCTGTGTAATTCATGTGAGCTGAACCAAGGCATCTTTTAAAGTGGAGACAATTTTACTTCAGTAAGGAGGACCACAGTGCATTTAGTTCTCTTCTCAGAGGTCATTTTTGTGACTTCACACTCTAAGGGTGTTTTTAATTTTTAAATCATTTTTGCGTACATCTCGGGAAGGAGGTTTTATTTTCCTTCTGTCTCTGCTTTTTCTTCATCCTCCACTTGAGGACCAGCGCGTCATCAGACTTTAAGATAACCACATGGGGCAGTTCAATCTTCCCTGTCCCCACACCTTAGAAGGCCACAGAACACATGCCCTGAAAAGCCCCACCCTCTCACGAAGGCCGAGGAGATCTTCAAGGGAATCTATTTCTATTCTGTTATCACCACAGGTATTAGGATGTGAGAGACACGGGCGCCATCATTTCCCAAATGGTGATCTTCACATATAAAGCCACCAAGAATGGAAGTGTCTTGAGGTCAGGAATCACAGGAATGTGTCCTTGAGTTGAGATTTTGGCTAGGCCTGACCTCTGACTCAGAGATTCAGGACACTTAAGCCCCATAAGATCTGGAAATGCAAGCTCTCTTTCCTCAGTGGCGCCATAACTCAGCCTGGGCAGTCATCGGCTTGATGCTGTGGATGCCAGGAAGGCTCCCAGCTCTGTAGAGGGCATTTCCTGGGAGCTCTGTCCCCCAGTGGTAGAAGCTCTTTAGCTTCCTGTTACTTAGCTCAATATGTTTGCAGGGCAGTATAATGGCTAGGGTTTGTGTATTGGTGCCAGCTTGCCTGTTTAAGGCCTGCCACGTGCTGTTCAACTTTGTGCTCATTGGTTTTCTCCTTTGGAAAGTGACAGTGGTAATAATAAAACCTACTTCTGTGGGTTTCTGTGAAAATGAAAAGATTGTATAAAGGACGTGGTCCATAACAAAATGCCCACAGTAGTTCTTTTCCTTCTCAGCCACAGCTCTTATCTCTAAGCCTGGAACCTCAGGGGGCCCTGGGCTTCTCTGCCCTGAACTGCCACAGTTGTGCAAGCACTCTTGAATCTCCTGTTACAAGCAGAAGCCGGCAACAGACCAAAATAAAGGGGGGAGGCAGTGGGGAGGGCAAAGCGGGCCTCTGGAGGGAGTCTGACCAGGTCAGCTGGGAATGCCTGTCAGCCATCCAAGGTGGCTTCTCCTCAGCCTGGCTCCTGCGTGGGCCTGAGGTGAGCGAGTGACTCACGTGGGTGCTCTCCCCACCCCTGTGCCCAAATGCTCAGCCTTCCCCAGGGCTGGGGCTCACCTAATCCCCACAGTGGGAGTCGGGGGCATCCACGCCTGTGCCGAGGTCTAGGGTTGCACAGTGGTGATTTCACACTCTGTAGCATGTGCAGCTGAGGCAGGCAGCGAGGTCAGCTTGGCAGCCGCTCCCTCTTCAGCCTGGATCTGGCCTCAGGCAGCCGGTGCCCCCGGACCGAGGAAGGGATGGCAGAACAAGAAGGCAGTGGGCTGCAGGTCCTGCTGAGTACGCTTCAGGTAGGCAGGGGTACAGAGGGCACAGGACTTGGCGGGCTGGGTCTTTGCCTGGCTGGCTTGTGCTGGAGTCATGTACACACACTCCCCTCTGGCATCCAGTGGCTTGGTTTGCTAACTAGGCAATTGAATAGGAGTCAGCTCTCACCTTGAAGCTGACCTAAGTGATGCTATGATGTTTAAATATTAAGCACAACAATGTTGATGATTGCTCTGCTTAAATTATTGAACTGGTGGGATCAGAGGCTCTGGCTAAAAGATCCAGGTTTGCTAGAGGTTGAAAGGATGGGGATAAGAAAACTTATTTGGAAAATTAAAGAGATATATGACAACCATCCCTAGACAAGTCTGGAGATCTGCTGGGAGCTTGTAGAACTGTCTGGGAGGAAAGGATAGCTGGGAAGGGGACTCTCCTAGTCTGCTACTTGGCTTTTTTGTGGCACTTCCAAATTGTATTCTGGGTCAGAATGGCCTGGGAATGCTTGCTAACAGTGTATACTCTCAGGCAGGGTCTGACCAAAAGGCATCTGAATCACCAGGGCAAAGAGCCTGGGAATCTGCCTTTCCTTGGTGATCCTACTCACTGCTAATTTTGAGAATCCTTTGTTTAAGAGGAGTCTTTTTGCAATCTTGTCTGCACAGTGGAATCACCTGGAAAGTGCTAAAAAATACTGATGACTGGAAGCCACCCACAGAGATTTGGATTTTATTGGTCTAGATAACAACTTTAGCACTGGAAGTTTGAAAATCCTGAAGGTGTCTTAATGTGCAGCTAACATTGAAGACCACTGCCTATGGACTTAGGAAGATGCTTAACTGGATTCAGAGAATGTCAGAGCTCAAATAGGCCCAAGGGATCTTCTACTCCAGGATTTCTAAACCCGAAGCTTGTGTACAGGGATCACAAAATGATGGGCTTCATGACCCCATGCCCCCAATTTAGAATGTAAATTTTTTTTTTTTTTTTTTTTTTTGGTTTTTGGTTTTTCTCCTGTACTGGGAACCGAACTCACGACCTTGCGCTTGCCAGGCAGGCGCTTTTGCCGCTGAGCTAAATCCCCAGCCCCTAGAATGTAAATTTTTGCACCTGTATTCATTTTTTTCCCTGTTGTGAAAAGCTTCTTTAATGTTCCTTTGATTCTAAAGAGATCTATTTTTTAAAAAAGCTTAAGAACTAATAAACCCAACTTTTAGGTGTTCAGGTATACAGACAAGGAAACCAGGTTTTAAAAGTGATCGAGATTCCTCAGTGTGACCTGACTGTTTAATAGAGTAACTAGGGTTACTATTTTAAGAACTTCAAAATCCAATTCACTTAGGGTCTTTTGACTCTTTTTGCTTGATGCATGCAAAGAAAGAATGCATGGGGCATTGAAGGTGAAACTAGACCTCAAAAAAGTTTGCAAAATATGTTCTAACTAGATGATTTGATAGGTGTAACAAGTCAACATTCTGGGTGTCTTTCTAATTTCTGAACAGTTGCTTGGAAATCCTGATTAACAGTGATGAAACAACTGGAAGCTTGTAATAAACAGAATTTCCTTTGAACTAGCTGTTTAGGAAAAGAGGACTGTAGTAAATTGGCAGTAGGGGCTCAGCGAAAATGAATGTCCTGCAGTTGGCCTGGAAGTTGCTTCCCACCAGAGGAGATTTAGAATTGATATTTAGAAAGATCACTCCAGGGTACTGCAAAATTCTCAATTATCAGAGGAAGATTTAATTATGTTCCCCAGGTGCTACTTAGTTCCCAATTAACCAGAGCAGTAAAATAGCACCAACATACTTCCTGTGCATACCCCACTTGATCAGAATTTGGTTGTAGAATTGACTTCAGTTTTTAGCTTGGTTGAGGCCAAGTGCCTCTGTGAATCCTATCTCTTTTCCATAAAAATCAAAACTCCGAAACACTTCAAAAAAGAGAACCTAGAGTTCGTTTTCTATGCAATAATTTTTTATGATGGGTTGATGCCTTTTTCCCACTCCCACTCCCCCTGGACTTATTAGGGGAATCCACAGAGCTAAGAGGACACTGGTTGACACACTCTTAATTGGGGAGTCTCAAAGATTTCACCAGTTCAGAACAATCACTCTCTCCTTGTGCAGAAAGGTTACCAGATGAGGGCCTTGAATTGGTTCCCAAACCCCAAGGGAAGACAGTGGAAAAGTTTGAATGGAATGCGGTCTTACAAGTACCCTACACTGTTGCCCAGGAAAGGATGAAAGAGAACGGAGGGTCAGAAAGAGCAAGCTCAATGTGACAAATGTCCCTATGACATGATCATGGAAGTCTCCATCCTTGGGATGTCATTGGCAGGTGATGACAGTGTCATCCTTTTTCCCTCTTTGAGAGTCATTAGGAAATATTAGTTTTATGCTCATTAGCTTTTCTGGCACAGTGGAGAAGGAGAAATGGTTTTTCCTACCTTAACAGAAGCACAGCCTTCTATTTGGCCTGAATGTGTAAGAAGAAAATTTCTACCAAGACATTTTCCAAGTTCCTGGCCTTGACAGCGTCGATTTGAAGCAGAAAATCCGATCAACTCACAGATCCTTGGGTGAAGGGATGGCAGCCACAGTAAAAGTGTGAGAGGCAGAAGGACTAGTTCTAGCCCCAGTTCTGGCACTTACCAGCTCTTCATCCTTAGGCCATCCCTCCACCTCCCTGGGCTTCCCTTTATATGTATGTAAAAAGGGGGCAATAAAGCAGGATCGTAAGCACTTAGCATGAGGATTAAGAGAATACATTTGAAAAGCACTTGTAAACTATAAATGGCTGCTTGAATGACTGTGGTTTTCATATTTCCCTAGTTGAGCAAAGAGCAAGGGACTGGAAACACTTGCCTACACTTTTCATCAGCCTGCCCTGCTTTTTCCTGGGTGGACTCCAATATACTTGGAAAAAAGGAAGGTGTCTCATTCTGTCCTGCTCTCATTTCTCCATGTGGTTTGAGCTAATGGGGAAGATGGGGACCTGCCAGGGGAGCAGGATATGGGCTCCGTGCCAGCGCTGACTCTGTGAGCCCTCATCCAGCAGGGTCCCACAAAATGCCAATTAAGTTCCTTACTGGAACATGAAAAATGTATAATTATTAGGTCAGCTCTGGCACTCTCTGGACTGAGATACGGGCACACTTTTTGCTGTTTGCATTTATACTTTATTATAAACTTTATGTTACAACTGCTCAAACTGCATCCCAGGCCTGCATCTTTGCCAAAATATGCATAGCTGACTCCTTTTCTCAACTTGGGTTCCAAGATCATCATCTATTATGGATTGTGAATAAGACTTCAGGATGTGGGGTTTCCTGTCTCCAGTTAGCATCGACCTTAGATAATCGAAAACCTGGCCTGTGGCAACCAGTTCATTTCTTCTCTTGGACTTGATCCTTGAAAGATTATTTTTAAGACCAGAAGTGATTTTTGGCCTCTGGGCTGCAAGAAGGGGATGGGTGGAAAAATGATGACTGATATGTTTCATTCAGAGCACTTAGGAGTTTTGTTTCCAAAACATGTGCTTGATAATTTCCCTTGTAAAACTCTCCGCAGAGGCTGTGGGAATATCCATCTATTGTGCTTATCCATAGGCCAGGTGGAGCGGAAACTGAGCTTTCTCTGTGGACAAATGAAGGGAAGAATTTTCCTTTAAGTAGCAAACGCTATACAGACTTTCCAAAGCTCACTGAGATTCCTCTCCGGTGAAGTTTGAAGCTTCCTGGGTTTGCTGGAGACTCCTATCTCAATTGTGACACAAATGTACAATCTATTAGTCAGCTTTCTGTCACTGGGACCAAATACTAGACACACACCAAATACTAGACACTTCCTTAATCAAGGAAAGGTTTATTTTGGTTCATAGTTTTAGAAATTTCAATCCATGGTTAGCTGGCTCCATGGCAGAAAATGACAAGGTAGACTGGCACAGTGGAGGAAGGTTGCTCAGTGGATGGCAGCAGGAAGCTGAGGGAAGGGAGGGAAAGAGCCAGAGAGAGAGGAAGGAACCAGGGACAAGAATACATCTTTCTAGGCCACACCCCCAGTGACCTTCCTGCTCCAATCAGGCTCCACCTCCTGACAGCACGTCCACCTATGAACTTATCTGCTGATGAGGTTAGTGCCCTCATGATCCGGCTGCCTTCCAAAAGCTTCCTCTTTGAAGACGAGACTTTGGGGGTTACGTTTTTGATCCAAACATAACAGAAGCAGACCAAAATCCTTTTTAATTTCGAGCATCAGCAGAAGCAAAGAAAAAGAAAATCCATCAGGACAAGCACCAAATCAAAAAAGGAAAAAAAAAAAACTATTAAGAAATAACATCTTAAATGAGTGTCATAGTACATACCTTTTAATCTCAGCTACTTCAGAGGCTGAGGCAGGAAGATTGCAAGTATGAGACCATCTTGGGAAAGTCTCAAATAAAAGTAAAACAATAAAAGCAGTTGGGAATGTAACTCAGTACTCCCAGGATTGAACCCTCAGTGCTACAAAAGCAGAACAGTTTTTCAAAATCTGTCAGTGCCTAAGGAATGATTGTGCTAGTCAAACTGAATAGTGAGGGGGTGATGGTGCTGCCTAGGGTTACTCTGAGCTGGAATTGGGGAGAAGTTTTCACTTAATACCTTTTCCAAGACTTTGTTGCCTTCACAGTTTCTTAAATTCATTGGAATTAGAGTTTGGAGAAAATGAGCAATGATTATGGGTGCACTTTTGGTGAAACTCTCACCTCCTTCACCCCATGTTGCTCTGTCTGCCACTTGTGGGCAAGATGTGGCAGGGGGTCTTATGAGTGAGGAGGCTGATTGCTAAGTAGGTTAAGCTGCTCAAGGCTCTATGACTAAAACATAGCAAAGCCCTAGACAGAGGCCAGGAAGGTCTTCCACTCAAAAGCCTTTCCAAGACTCTGTGTTTCTTAAGTAACCTGGAATATACCTGTTTATTTTTTGTTTTGAGGGCATTAACTTGATCTGACTGAACCTGAGGATTAGAGGAATATGAATTCTCTACAA